TACTTCCGACAGCACTCCCGCCAAGCATATCTCACCGCGGCACTGACGACCGCACTAACCACAGCTTCAACGAAAGCACTGATGCCAGACCGCGACTGATTTTCAGAGATAGTTGCCGTTAATGTTCTCGACTGATGGCTCGTCACTGACGTGCTACGATCGTCTGCGCCATCTTATTGCGACTGATTCGTGTCTTTTCCCCTGCTTTGTCTCTGTGCTCCTGTGCGCCTCTCTTGCGATCCCCCCGTCGTCCGCGGCGGTGCGCGCAGCTGATCAAGTTCCACGGCAGCTACATGCAGGACGACCGCGAGGCGCGGCAGGGGGGCGGCGGGCGCGCGTACCAGTTTATGATGCGGACGCGGCAGCCGGGCGGCAAGGTGCACAACCGCCTCTACCTCGCCATGGACGACCTCGCCGACCAGTTCGGCTCCGGCACGCTCCGCCTCACCACGCGCCAGACCTTCCAGGTGCGCTCCGCCTCACCACGCGCCAGACCTTCCAGGTGCGCTCCGCCTCACCACGCGCCAGACCTTCCAGGTGCGCCCCGCCCCGCGCCACGCCTCCCGCTACTCCCTGCCTTACGATACTCCCCGCGCTGTTTGAAGGGTATTCAAGCATGCACCTTGCGAACCTCAAAATTTAACCGCCAGCCATCTCCGCTCAGCACCTCCCAACCCCCCTCTCTCCCCCCCCGTCACCCCATCCACTCTCCCGCTGCGCGCGCGCAGCTGCACGGAGTGCTGAAGGCGAATCTGAAGGAGGTGTTTGCGACGGTGATCAAGAGCATGGGGTCCACGCTGGGCGCGTGCGGCGACCTGAACCGCAACGTGCTGGCGCCCGAGGTGCCGTTCGTCGACCGCCCCGCGTACCGCTACTGCCAGGAGTACGCCGATAAGATCGCCGCGCTGCTCGAGCCGCAGTCCGGCGCCTACTACGACGTGTGGCTGGACGGCGAGAAGGTGCGCGCAGGGGGGATGGGGGGAGGGCGCATGGGGGGGATGGGGGAAATGGGGGGAATGAGCGCATGGAGGAATGGTGCAGATGGTGGAATGGGGGGAAAGGGTGCATGCGCGTGGGTCCTGCGTGGTTGTAGGGGGGATGGGAAAGCATTAGTGAAGCGGAACTGATGATGCTCCTAAGGGAGGCGGTGACTCCTAAAGGAGGCAGTCTCTTCTTGCCTTCATGTTCCTTCCCCCCCTCATGGCTCGCGCGTCCCCTTACGCGCCAGGTGCTGACGGCGGAGGCGGCGGCGGACGTGGAGGAGGCGCGCGCGGACAACCGGTTCGGGACGAACATAGAGGGCAGCGCGGAGCCGATCTACGGCACGCAGTACCTGCCGCGCAAGTTCAAGGTGGCCATCACCGTGCCGGGCGACAACTCCGTGGACCTGCTCACCAACGACCTCGGCCTCGTCGTGCTCTGCGACGACGCTACTGGCCAGCTGCAGGGCTTCAACATCTACGTGAGCGCTGTGCTGCGCGCGCCTCAGGGTTTCGGGTTTGGATTCCGGAGTTTTGGGTTTTGTGGGGGAAAAGGGCGTGAGGCGGTGGAGGATGGGGGCAGGGGGCAGGAGGTCGTAGGGGAGAGTTGAGCAGCTGTGGTGGCACAAACGCTGCCAGCATTCGAAATGGTTGAATGGGTTCCGCAAGTGAGTCTAGCAGGAATGCCATGTGCAGTCTTCATCACAGCCTCTTCCTCGAACCCTGCTCCCTTCTCTGTCCCCCCTCCGCTCCCCTTCCCGCGCGGCCATGGCAGGTGGGAGGCGGCATGGGGCGGTCGCACCGCAACGAGCAGACGGAGGCGCGGCTGGCGGAGCCGCTGGGGTACGTGGCGGCGGAGGACGTGCTGTACGCCGTCAAGGCCATCGTCGCCACCCAGCGCGACTATGGCCGCCGCGACGACCGCAAACAGGTGGGGTGAGGAGGGGGGCGGAGGGAGGGGGGGTTAGGGGGCAGGGATAAGATGCTGCAAGCGTGGACGGTGGAGAGATAGAGGGAGGAAACGGAAGGGGGGCACTCATTTAACCCGCAGTGGGTGCATTCGCTGCTCGCATTCCTTCACTCTTTTCCATCCATCACCATGTGCTCTTGCCCGCGTCCCTCCTCCTGCCCTCCCCCCTGCGCGCACAGGCGCGGCTCAAGTACCTGATCCGCGACTGGGGCATGGACCGCTTCCGCACGGTGACGGAGCAGTACTTCGGCAAGCCCTTCCAGCCCTTCCGCCCCCTCCCCGAATGGCAGTCCAAGCCCTACATCGGCTGGGGCGAGCAGGTGAGCCATGCTGCACTGGTGAGCAGAGCTCGTGCTGTGGGGTCAGCTCTGCTGCCTCCTTCCTCCCCGCGCCCCCATCCCCATCCTCCCCTTCCCCAGCCCCACCCTCTATCTGTCCTCTTGCTTGCACATAGTCGCGTGGCTGTATTTGCCAACAACTTGACATGATGCTGGGACACCTACACCACTTCGCCCCACTCTCCACTCTGTTACACGCCTCACCACACCCCGATTCACCCCACCGCACTGCACCGCATGGCAGGGCGACGGGCGGCTGTACTACGGGCTGCACATCGAGAATGGGCGCATCAAGGGCGAGGCCAAGAAGGCTCTGCGGGCAGTGATTGAAAAGTACAACCTGCCCGTGCGCATCTCGGCGAATCAGAACCTGATGCTGTGCGACGTGCGCAAGGCGTGGCGCCCCCGCATCACCCAGGAGCTCGCCGCTGTCGGCATCCTCGTGAGTCCGCTGGGGGGGGGGGGGAGGGGGGTTGGAGGGGATGGCCGCATGAGGGGGGGAGGGGCATCTTAGTGGGCCCAGAGTGGAGTGCATGCGGGGGAAAGGGCACTGCCGTGAGAGGGCGGGGGTATGACGAAGAAGGGCCGTTCTGGTGAGGCATGAGGGGAGTCCTAGCCTGGCCACACACTCATTCGCTCACACTCACACAAGTACACACACTCACACACACTTGCTCCCGTAAATTCCTGTTTCGGTGCCACAACCTCTGTCCGCCCCCGTCGCTCCCCTCCATCCCCACCCCCTGCCCCACGTGCGACCCACAGGGCAAGCAGTACGTGGATCCGCTAAACCTGACGGCCATGGGGTGCCCGGCGCTGCCGCTGTGCGGGCTGGCCATCACGGAGGCGGAGAGGGGGCTGCCCTCCGTGCTCAAGCGCATCCGCGCCATGCTCGACAAGGTGGGCGGGGGGGATGCTGTGAAGCAAGGTTGCAGCTTAGGTGGCGGGGAGAAAAGGGTCATGAGGTATGGGGGAGATGGTGGGGCATGTGGGGATGAGTCAGTGAAAGATGCAGTGAGGGCCAATGGAAGATGTGGTTGTTGTGCGTGAGTACATGCAGAACCATGTGCGCTTGGCTCTAACTTGCTTCCGTGTTGCTGCTGTGTGTTGTGCTTGCTTTTTCCTTGTTGCCTCCCATGGCATGACATGGCATGGCATTGAACGGCATGACGTGGCATGGCATTGATCGGCATGACATGGCATGGGAGCAGGTGGGGCTGAGGCAGCAGCAGGCGCATTCACTGGTGGTGCGCATGACCGGTTGCCCCAACGGCTGCGCGCGGCCTTATGTAGCCGAGCTGGGCTTCGTGGGCGATGGTGCCAACTCGTACCAGGTGGGTGTTTGGTCAATTCACTCACAAGTGCTGAGCGCTGAGTGCCGAGTGTTGAGAGCTGCATGAGTGGTGGCCACTGCTTCGTCATGCACCACGCTGCTTCCTCCATGCCTGGCCTACACTGACTTGCCCTCCTGCCAACAACTGACCTTTCTCGTTCCCCTCCCGCCTTCCCTCCCCATGTTCCTCCGGCAGCTGTGGCTGGGCGGCACGCCGAACCAGACAGTGCTGGCGAGGGTGTTTCTGGAGAGGGTGAAGGTGGGGGAGCTGGAGGCGGTGTTGGAGCCGCTCTTTGCCTTGTGGAAGGTTGAGGGCCACAAGGGCGAGTCCTTTGGGGACTTCACCAACCGCGTTGTGAGTGCTGCGCTGAGGGTGGGTGTGTGCTGCCTGGTGGTGAAGTGTTGCTCTGAGGGTGAGTGCTGCTGCATGGGTGAGAATTGTCTCGTGGATAAGGTCTGCCCCGTGCTCATGGGCACTCTTTCAGCACAGGCCGTGCCAGGACTGTGATGCGCTGCCTTTATTCACCACCATGAGTTGCTCGCTCTAAGCTCTCGTTTCAACTGCAACTGTGCTGCTGGCAGGGCTTTGAGGCGATGAAGGAGTACATGGGCACGTACACAGCGCCCATAGGGAGGCAGAGGGGCATGGCGCGGCGCATCACAGTGGATGATGAGCTGGCGGGCAAGCTGCAGGAGGTGGCCACGCAGCGCGGCACCACCGTGGCCAAGCTCACCCGCGAGGCGCTGCTGCAGTTCCTGGCGGAGCGCAAGGACGAGTAGAGTAGGCCTTGTGGAAGTACATACGGTACATACCGTTTTCTGGGACAGCCATTCTCTGAGAGCATATGCAACAGGCATTCCTGCATGCTTGTTCACTTGGGGTGTTGGTATGGATTAGAACGGTTAAAGTTTTTGTATAAACTTTCTTACCACATACAGACACCATGATCTCTGCTACCATAACACAAAAAAACTAGGAAAACCTAGCTGAAAGCTAACTACCGGTAGAGTGATCAGAATGGAAAGAATGGGTGGAATGTCCACTACTAATATCTGTCTGCTCCTGCCTCTCACGAGAGGTGTCAAAGCTCTGGGAAGCAACTGAAGAGGGTCCTCCATGCTACGCCACCATGAGTGGGCTACTGCCATGATGAGTGGGCTACCGCCATGATGAGTGGGCTACCGCCATGATGAGTGGGCTACCGCCATGATGAGTGGGCTACCGCCATGATGAGTGGGCTACCGCCATGATGAGTGGGCTACCGCCATGATGAGTGGGCTACCGCCATGATGAGTGGGCTACCGCCATGATGAGTGGGCTACCGCCATGATGAGTGGGCTACCGCCATGATGAGTGGGCTACCGCCATGATGAGTGGGCTACCCAGTTAGAGGCACCATGGAGAAGCGCCGGCCGGTGAGGTGCAGCCATGCCTTGCGGGTGTGCACAATCATGTGGTGCTGCCGACACTCCAGGCAGCAGAACGCCTTGTCGCCCCTGCACACGCACAACAAGCCATCATGGGGTCAGCACGCGGTATCGGCAGACTCATGTGAACCCATGCGATAGGAATTCAGCAGGGCTAGTAAGGGAGGAAATCGTGCGGTGCTACTGCGGAGGGGCGCGCGCGGGGCTCACCGGTACATGAAGGCGTCCGCGCGCTCCAGGCTCCGCCGGCAGAAGGCGCAGCGCTTGAGGAAGTCGGCGCTCGTCGCGTCGGACAGCCGCGCGCCCGGCGGAGGCCGCCAGCAGTCGTCGCCGTCCATCGCGCCGTACGACCACGGTGAGCTCGCGGCGACGCGCTGCGCGTCCAGCGGCACTTCGCAGACCACGCCGCGCTCAACTATCGTCGCCGTGCTGCTCGGTGCGGATGCGGGACTCGCGGCGACCACAGCGCAGGGCTCGTCATGCCTGCACGCATCGCGACGCTGATCGGTGGAGGAGAGGTGCATGGAGCTTAGCGTGCGGTGAAGCAAGAGCTGGGTGGCCATGGTGGGACGGCTCGCACTGATGCTGCTAGTGACGCGGTCATGTGACAGGGCCGTGTGAGCACTACGGAATGTCCAAGGAATCAGCGCGAGAATCTAGCTGAAGAGGGGAAATGGCAAGGCTTTAGACAGAGAGACGAGAAACCCGAGGGAGGTTGCGCGTCGATGCGAATGGAGATTGCTTGCGACGGATGCTGTTTAGGCTGTCATCAACCGCCTCTCTGCGTGCTCGCCGCCTCACTGCGACCCACGCTTGACTCAGCATATTCGTTCGACTGCTCGCCTTCCCTCCCCCCTGCCATCACCATCCCATCCCCGTGGGCCGTGGCTGTGGCTCCTCCCAAGGAGGGCGAAAGCAAGGCGAGCCTCGCTCACGGCCACATGCTGCCCGATTCCCGAATGGGCAGCGTTGCGGTGGGACGGGGGGGGGAGGGACCACTGTACACCGTGACGTGAGTTCGTTCGTGGAAATTGGTCAGCGTGACTGCTTGCGTTGCTTGCTCGACTGGGCAGGGAAACGCGGCGTCGAAAAAGTGCAGCGTTTGGTCATCTTGGGAAATACGCGGCCACTGAGCACCCTCCATGTCGGCAATTCGTCTGACGACAGCCCTGGGCCTCTCGATATCTCCCCGCCGATCTGGTTTGACGTGAGCTCGTTGCGCTCCATGTCATCGCCACCAAAAGTGGAACTCGCACAAAAGTGTATTGGAAAATATCTTTCAGCCACACTGACGAACCACAACCGTAGTCAAACTAGAAGCAAAAATATAAGTTGCAATGAGAAATATCAATCACGAATCGTTGCACAATAGCGAGTCGAGTACAGCCAGGCTTTCTGCTCACACGGAGAGGGAGGGAAACAGCTGTGTGAATGAACGTGATCGCCTCGCAAGTGACATTCACCAGCAGTGAGCCACTTGCTCACCTCCCACTCCACGCTGCTGGATCGTCTCGTGCCATTCACCACCACACCATCTCCTTGGCTGGCCAGTGGCTCTCACACCTCTGTCTCCTCGCCTCTCCTCGCCTCTCCTCGCCTCGCATCCAAAGGTCTTCCTTTTTTTTTCCCTCGTCTCGTCCGCCCGTCCGCGCGCGTCAACCGTCTTCCCCGTCGCGCCTTTCATCCGCACATCCCCAGCGCCCGCCACGATGAGCGGCAGAGGCGGCGGCGGCGGGCGGCCGCAGGTTGACAAGGCGGCGGATTTCGCGAATTACTTTTGCACGTACGCGTATCTGTACCACCAGAAGGACATGCTGTCGGACCGCGTGCGGATGAACGCGTATCGCGACGCGGTCATGAAGAATAAGGCGCACTTCGTCGATAAGGTGCGATCCAGTCTGCGCCTCGGTGAGATCGAGTCGCAGTTCCGTGAGGGTGAGAGATTTGGCCGTGTTTTATTAGTGAATCGCGAGCCGATCTAATTTCTCCAATGAGAAAGGTCCAGAACCCGTCAGTATCGAGGCATCACCTACCCGTCGCTCTGCGCGGCCCCAGTTCCCTGCACCCGATCAACCGTACCCGCATTGCCTGGGGCCCGTCCGATCCACGTCTTCGTCCATTACCAACTCCTCACCTCCTCCCCACCCTCTCCTTCCTTCCTTGCGCCCACACCCGCCAACCTCACGTGCATTGCCGCCCCACCTCCTCCCCGTGCGCGCCATGCGATCTCGCCTGCCCACACTCCCCGCGCAACACAGCAACCACTATCCCCGAAACCCTCAACCCTGTTGCCTCTGCGCTTCCCGCCCCCTTCGCTCCGCACCCCAAACGCTCTCCCGTGCTGCCTCTCGCCCAATCCGACACCTCCTCTCCATCCCCAATTTCCGTCCCCCGCTCCCCGCTCCCCTTGGCGCGCGCGCAGGTGGTGCTGGACGTGGGCACGGGCAGCGGCATTCTCGCCATCTGGGCGGCGCAGGCGGGCGCGCGGCGCGTGTACGCGGTGGAGGCGACGGACATGGCGCAGCACGCGGAGACGCTGGCGCGCGCCAATGGCGTGGCGGAGCGCGTGACGGTGCTGCAGGGGAGCATGGAGGATGTTCAGCTGCCCGAGAAAGGTGCGTGGGGGCGGCGGGAGTGCTGTGCGGGGAGGCGGAAAATTGCTTGCCATGCACTCTCTTGCACACGGGTTCCCTTCCCCCGTCCCCCCCCACACTCGTGACACAATTTCCCTTGGCCCCTTCCCTTCCCCTCATGCTTGCTCCCACCTCTCCCCCCCCCCCGCCCCACCTTCGCTCCCTCCTCCCCCCCCCCCCTCACCACTGGCTCGGCGCGCAGTGGACGTGATAATAAGCGAGTGGATGGGGTACTTCCTGGTGCGCGAGTCCATGCTCGACTCCGTGCTCGTCGCCCGCGACCGCTGGCTCAAACCGGGCGGCTCCCTGTCAGTGCGGGAGCTGGGGCTACGGGGGGAAGGGTGGAGGGATGGGGACTGGGTGGGCTGAGGGGTTGAATGTGCGGATGGGTTAGTGGAGATGGGGCAGAGGGACTTAAGGGGTGCTTTTTTGGTGCACTGTGCTGTGTCAACCTTCTTATCCACCTCTCCGTATCCTTTTAGGCCCCTCTGCCGCCTCCTACCGTCGTTTCTGCTCATCCCTTTCCCTCCCACCCCACCCTCATCCACCACCCCCCTTGCAGGTTCCCAAGCCATGCGCGCATGTGGGTGGCGCCGGTGCACTCGAGCCTGTGGGAGGGGCGCATGGGGGAGTTCCGCAGCAGCATGGGCGACTGGCGCAGCTTCGTGCGCGGCACACGGGAGGACTATGGCGTTGACATGGCGGTGCTGGATCAGACCTATGAGGCCGAGCAGCAGAAATACTTCCTCCAAGTACTCTCACCTCCTCCCTCGCCCTCTTCCCTTCCTCCCAGTCCCCTTCTCGCGTTCCCTTTCCCCCACTCCTCTCGCCCGTTCCTTTTTCCCCAGTCCCTCTCTCTCGTTCCCTTTTCGATGCTCCGTCTCTCCCACTCTCTTTTGCCCACTCCCTCGCTCTCACTCCCACTCTGACACCCCTCCGCCTCCTTCTCAACAGCTCCCTCGCCCCGAGCCTTTATCCCATCTGTTACCTGCCGTTCCTTGCTCCACTCACGCCCTCCCTCATCCCTTGCCCCCCGCCCGCTGCCAGACAGGGTGTTGGGAGTCGCTGTACCCCTCCCAGGTGTTGGGGCGGCCGGTGATGATCCGCGAGATAGACTGCGCCACGGCCACCGTGGCAGACGTGGAGGAGGTCAAAGCGCACTTCACCACTCGCGCCTTCGCTGCTGATAAAGCCGTCAACGCCATCGGAGGGTGGTTCGACGTGCTCTTTAAGGTAACCCTGCTTGCATTGCAGCGACCCATCCGGTCGTCCTCGTCACCTCAAGCATGGCATGGGCTGCTCCAGTGGCCGCTTGCCACCAACATTCCCTCAATCGCCCTCTCCTAACCCCCTCTGCTGCCTTCAGTGTTCCCCCCGCCACCTTTCACCGCTCCCCTCCTCCACCTTCCCCCCCCCCACAGGGATCAGCCACGGACCCAACGGAGCACGAGGTGCAGCTGACGACAGCGCCCAGTGTGGACGAGGGCACGCACTGGGGGCAGCAGGTCTTCCTGCTCGCACACCCACTGCACGTGCGCGAGGGAGATGAGGTGTCAGGCGCCATGCACATCCGGCGGTCCAAGAAGAACCACCGCCTCATGGACGTGGACCTGCAGCTGCAGTGCCAACACACCGACGGCTCCCGCTCCCCCAACACCACCGCCGCTTACTTTATCGAGTAGCTTTGGGTTACTGCCAACTCGTGCATGCTCCTTCAGTCGCCTAATTTTTGTTAGGGTGATTTTTGTAATTCTTTTTATGGGTCATTCACAGCACAGCAGCTCCAAGTGTACCTGCAGGAGCCTGAAGGTGTATGCAGCCAGCTGCCAGCGCTGCTGCTGTGTGGCTGCATCCACTCTACTGGAGAGTGCTTTGTAATCAGCAGTTAGCTCTCAGTTCACATGGCTCTTTAAAACAGTGCTTTATGGCATCATGCTGGTGTATTTCTATTACGAGCATCATTACTTGTAAGCAAAAATCCATACAGCGTTGTGTTCTAAAGAGCTGCCCCTTGCAGAGGCATGTGTGCATGTGGCCATGCCCACGGCATCGCCCCTCCCTCCAGCCATCACCGCATCTTGCTGCGGCGGTGCTGCTGGTTCTTCCTCTTCTTGTACTCGCCTCTCTTGCGCGCCAGGCTCGCCCGCCTGCGAGCGTGCCTCTCGGGGTCCACCAGCACGCTCACCCGTGCCGCCTCCCGCCTCGCTGCCGCCCGCCTCCTGGCGGTGTCGCGGGCGGCGGAGAAGGCGGCGATGAAGGCGGCGGGGCCCACCTCGTGGCGCACGTGGTCCACCACCTCCGCCACCACCGCCTGCACCTCCGCTGCTTGGCGCGAACAGGGGGAGGAGGATGGGCGAGGAGGGGGGATGGGGTTGAAAAATGTTACAGGGGAGGAGGGAATGAAATAGAGAGGAGGGGTGGTTGAGTGAGCAAAAGCAGTGGTCCAAGACGGCATGCAGGGCGAGGGAGCAGAAGGAGAGACTGCCAGCCATGCACTTCTCACAGCAGCAGCATTGCCACGAGCAGAGAGAATGGCACCAGGGTTCCAAAGGGGCACAGAGGGATGCAGAGGTGTGGAGGGGGGCTCACGTGGGACAACAGCGCCTGCAGAGCCTTGAGAGAGGCGGAAGAGCGGCAGCATGACGTCCGGCAGGTATGGCCGCACCCCCTCCCCTACCAGCGCTGTCGCCAGCGCCGCCACACACCGCAGCGCTGCTGCCGTCTGTTAGGCGCCATGCACAGGGGCGAGGGTGGGGGGGGGATGTGTGGGGAGAGAGAGTGAAAGGGGGAAGGGAGAGGGATGAGGGGGGGAGTGGAAGCAGAAATAGTTGAAGCACAGAGAGATGGTGTGTGGAACGTGCAAGGGGCACAACACATGCAAGGGCGCACCTGAATGGGCTTGACTCTGTACGCCACACGTGCCACCGCCTTCATCACCGCCCCCAGCGCTATGTGCCGCACTCCCTCCTCTCCTGCCTTCTCCCTTGATGCCACGTGCCCCCCATCCGGTTGCCCCTCCTCATCCACGTCCTCCTCTGCACCGCCCTCCTCCCCATCGCTCTGCTGCCTCTCCTCTGCCTCATCCCCATCCCCTGCCTCCCCACTGCCCTCTGCACCGCCCTCACTGCCCTCCCCTACTGGCTCACCCAACATGACGGCCCCACCCCCTGCACCTGTCGCTTCCATATCAGCATCCGCATCAGCATCAGCAGCAGCATCAGCATCACCCACACCACTGCCCTCCCCAAAGTCTACAAGGTATGTTTCCTCATCGCCCTTCTCTTCTTCCTCTTCCTCCTCTGCTTTCTCCTCCTCCTCAACCCCCCCTTCCACCCCTCCTTCCGCTTCTCCCAACACCTCCTCCTCCTCTTCCTCCTCCTCCTCCTCCTCCTCCTCCTCCTCGCCACCACTGCCATCCCCAGTCCTCTCTCCCTCTCTCCTCCTCACCCTCAGCAATTGCCACCCCAGTTTCAGCCGCCCCCTGCCCTCCCTCCCTATCTCACACCCATCTAGCTCCACCACCAACCCCGATCCCTTCTCTCTTCCCTTCCTCATCTCACCACCAGCAGCGCCAGTAGCAGCGCGGCAGGGCAGGAGAAGCAGGAGGGGAGCGAGGGCAACGAGGTTCTTCACGGTGTGCTGTGCCAGGCGCTCGTCACTCGCGTTGCTCTCCAGCACACGGCACAGCGCCCCCGCCAGCACCACCAAGTACGACGGCTGCAGCAGCACCTGCCACACCTCCACCCCTGCTCCGCGCCCCTCACCCTCCTCCCGCTCCTCGTCCTCTCCCCCATCCTGCTCGCCCCTCTCCACCAACCCCTTCACCACAGCCTTCAGACCCTCCTCCTCCGCCCCACACACGCCCTTGCTCCCACCAACACCAGCGGCAGCGGCAGCGGCAGTGGTGGCATGGGAGAGATACGCCCCCAGGAGGCGGCAGGCAGCAGCGCGCACCCAGAGGTGGCGGTGCAGCAGCAGCGCCGGCAGTTGCCGCCACAGCGCTCGCATGCTGCTGCTGTGCGCCTGCCCGCCCTCCCGCTGCAGCACCTTCTCAGCCAGCACCACACACGCATACACACCCTTCCACCCCTCCACTCCCCCCTCCTCACCCTCCTCCCCTCCCTGCGCCCGCTGCACAATCCGCGCAGCAGCACCCATCCACGCCGCCACCATGCCCCCCTGCTCGCCGCCCACCCCCACCGCCTCCACCGCCACCCCCAGCACCAGCGCTGCCGCCTGCTGCAGCTGCGGAGACGGATCCACCAACCAGGCAGAGGCGAAGCGCAGCAGGCGGGCGCACGTGGGCGGCTTGACTCGCACGAACAGCGCCTTGAGCACCGCCGCCACCAGCTGCCGCACGCGCGCTGACTCATCGCTGACTAGGCGCGTGACGAGCGGCAGGAAGAAGGTATCAGCGTGTGCCTCCACGAGCACGGAGGGGAATCCCTCTATGATGGCTCGCAGCATGCCCAGCACGGCCTCTCGCCCGCTCTGGTGCTCGTACTTCAAATTCACTATGAGAAAGCTCAGATGCGCCTCCAGGCGCGCGGGACCCAGCGGGTAGTCGAGCAGGAACGCGAGCAGCAGTGCGGCGCTGAGCTGGCGCACGGAGGGCGTGTGGGAGCGCAGCAGCAGCAGCTGCACGCGCCCCATGGCGTCATACACCTCTGGTACCACCACTCGCCGCCGCAGCAGCGCTCGCAGCACGGCGAAGGCAGTGGTGCGAGTGGAGGGCAGCTCGAGGTCCGTGAAGACTGCACTGCCCAGCAGCGCTCTCACCTGCTCCTCCCCCACCTTCACCTCGGGGCACCGGTCTAGCAGCACTGCCAGCAGCTTCAGACACGAGTGCACCATGCCGCCCGCCACTGCCGCCGCCCGCCCCGCCTGCTGCACCACCTTGAACGCTGACGTGGCGACGCGGGGCGCGACGGTGGCGACGGAGGGGAGGCGGCGGTGGAGGAGGAAGGCGAGCGCGCGGAAGGAGGCTGCGAGGATGGCGTCGTGGGGCGAGGAGAGGGCGAGGGAGAGCGGATGCACGAGGGCGTTGAGACGTGGCGTGAGGGCGGGGTCGGAGGCGGGCAGGCGGTCGTGAGAGGCGAGGGAGAGCAGCAGCTGCAGCCCCAGCAGCGCCACCACATGCCCGTTCGGCATCCCCTCAAACCCCAACCCCTTCTTCTGCTTCTTCCGCCTCCTTCTCCCTCCCCCTTTACCCTCCGCTTCATCCCCTTCCATCCCACCCTCCTCACCCAATTCCTCCTCCATCCCTCCTTCGTCACCCTTCCCTTCCCCACCACCCTTCCCCTCCCTCGCCTCCGCACGCAGTCGCTTCCGCTCACCCGCTGCCGCCGCATGCGCCTGCTCCACGCGCACGCCCTCCCACAGCACTGCATGCACCAGCACCAGCAGGTCGCCAGCTGTCGCGTGCTGATTGGCCAGCAGCCCGATAGCCATATGTCTTACCATCTCCTGCACGTGACGCTTCACCCTTGGATCCAGCGATGCAGGCAGGGCGGCGCGGATGGGGGCGAGCAGCAGAGCCGTGCTGCGCCGCACGTTCACCAGCGAGGCGGCGATGCGCACGGTCTCCAGGGACCGGCTCTGCCGCTTCTCCCGCACGCCCGCTGCCACGGCGTCCACCTCCCTCTCCTCCGCCACCTGCCCCAGCAGCCCCTCCACTGCCACTGCCAGGCACTCCCCCAGGCAGTAGTCCAGGGCGCCGGGGGGCATGGTGCGCCCGTGCGTGGTGGCGGCGTGCAGCAGCAGTGCGTGCAGTGTGAAGCCCAGCACGTGTCGCTCGAACCCGCGTGTGAGAGCGCTGCGCAACACGCCGATCACGTACCCCAGGTAGGCCGGACCCAGCGCCCCCGCCACCTGGCACAGCGCCGCGCGGGCGGCGTCTCTCGTCCCTTGCGAGCGCGACTTGAGGGGGTTGACGACGGTCTGCAGGAGCACGGGGAGGTGCGCGCGGATGGCATCGGGTGGCAGCAGCAGCAGCGTGCGCGTGACGGCGAGTGCCACGTGTGAGTTCACCTCCTCTCGCCCCGCCTCGCCTGCCACGAGGTGCTTGGACAGCTGAGGGATGATGTCCTTCAGCAACACCTGCTGGATGCGCAGCGACACTGCTGCCTCCCTCTCCTCCTTCGCTGCCTCCGCTACTACCGGTTGCCTGCTCTCCTCCTTCCCTCCCTCACTCTCCTTATCAGTAATCTCCTTCCCCTCGTCCCCATCCTTCCCACCCGCTTCTCCACCCTCCTTCCCATCCACACCCTCCTTCTCACCCTTCTCTTCCTCCCCTTCACCCTTCTCCTCCCCTCCACCCACCCCCACCACGTGCTTCACCTGCTCCAGCACGCCACAGATGGCCCTCAGAATCGCCCTCTGCCCCGCCGCACTCACCTCCTCGCCGCCCCTCCCCCCGCCCCTGCCTCTGCTCTCCTCCCACCACTGCTCGCCCTTCTCCTTGCGCCGCGGCAGCAGAGCCAGCAGGCGGGAGAGCAGGGAGTGGAAGGCGGGCCAGGGCAGGCGGGCGGCCATGGCGGAGAGGGCAGCCATGGTGGCGTCGATCACACCGCTCTCACTGTCCGGCCGCCCCTCCACCAACTGCCTCAGCAGCGCTGGCACCACCGCATCCAGCAGCACCTCCTGGTGGTGGGGGGAAGGTGGGGTGGGAAAGGGGGAGAGC